CTGTTTCTTATACTTTGTGACTGCATGCTGAGAGTTCAAAGGATAATTATTGTATGATAGAATCAGAACTATGATTTAGAGAGCAAAAATGTCCATGTATTTTCTGTATAAATATATGGTAGTCCCCATGTAATTAAATCACCAGCAATTATTGTAAAAATAAAGAATTCATGCATTGTGTGCCTTTGGCAACATAAAGAATAGTCTGTTCTATTTTCTGAGAATGAACTTCACAGTGCTTCTAAAACTGAATACCTACACTGTTTGAATTCAAATTGAAGGGCTATGAATTTCAACAGTGGTGGTTTCCCTTACTTTTCAAATTAGTCGCAATCACAGAAACAACAAAAAATGTTGTCATGGCATCTCAAAGCAGGTTGGTGGGCTAACCTCAGAATCTGATTTTATGCTTATCCAAGGGCTGAACCTAACATTTATATATTATAATGATATCCCTCAAAACCCATTTCTCATGGCTTTGTTTGTCCATGCTTTGTTGTGGGTGGGGTGAGAGGGAACACTAGCTTTGCCACTGTCTTCATAATACTTTAATACGAATCCCAGGAGTTATTCCCTGCCATGGATCTCCTGGTAATTATTCTGTCTATAATTTATCAGGTAGCATGCAGAACCTTGTATAGCTGCTTTTGTTTACATCATGTCCATTCGAGCAGAGGTTAACTAGGGAACAAGCCACATGCAAGCGTTACTTGTGGGAGACGCAACAGGACTAGAAAAAGGATGCTATGCTGTGCCTTTAAGCCCACCATGTCTGATTTAGAGCCTTGATTTTCCAGGGTGCTACATTTCATGGGATATCTACAGGACAGAAATTGAACCAGACTGGACCAGGAAATTTTGCTGCCTGAGATGAAGGACAAGATAGCACTAGTTCCCATTCCATGTTTAAAAGTAGACTGGACTGACAGTTGTATCATTCTTTGACATGAGTGATGGAACAACATTCTCCACCACACTTGAAGGCAGCAGGTGCAGCTTTCTCTCTAACATTTTGCTGCCATCTTCCAGAATCTTCTGTCCAAGAAGGCTCTGTGAAGTAGCTTACTACAGTTTTACTTTAGTGTAGAGTGATCCCTATGTAGAACAGCTTCCTCCTGAAGATTTTTTTTTTCTCACAAAACACATGGGAAGCTTTAAGGAGGCCTGAAGGTAAGGCCCTACATTCCCTTTGCCCTCATGTCATCCTTTCACATTAATAACATTTGGATAGGGCTGAAAATAAGCAGAGAGGAAACAACTGCCATGGTTGTAGGTGCTGGTCAGTAGAATTAAGCTAGAGATATAACCATACATTATCTCTCATCAGCCAACACTGCTTTGCCAATTTGCTTTGAATGAAGGAAATTTCAACATGAGTGAAGAGAGACACACACATTATACTTTAACAATGGGGACTTATACATTGAATACAAATTACAATTTCTCTACTGATAACTTATTCCAGGATTCATCGGTGATGTCCTGCCAAGTGGTGAAAGGACTTTGACATTTTCTGCTTCCTGGATTTCTCAACTTGGCATGTTGATGGATGCAAACCACTTATCAAGTCGCCACAGAAGGAGAGTCTATGGGCGAGTACAACCCTGCCGAGAGGACCAGTGATCTCTGAACTCAGAGGCTCATCCTCAGCCAGTGTGCACTGAAAGGAATGGCAGAAGTGATCTTTCCATAATGCTCCCTCTGCTCTGAGGTTTCTGGATTATTCCTAAATCTCCAAGAACATTTAGAAAGTGCTGCACCCCATTTAACTTTGAATTACCAGCTCTACTTTTCTAAATGTTACCACTTAATGCCAGGAGGAAAATGAGATGCTCATTTATCAGAAATTGCTTTCTTCCATTTCAGTCTGTTAGCGGTTGCTTGGATCTCAGACTAAAGTTTTTCTTGGAGTTGTTATTTCAGAATAGCGATCCTAAGCCCCTTCCTAAACCTTTTGAAGCAACTGTCTATTTGACTGCTATAAATGTGTTTTAAAGAGCTTGTTGGTTCAACATCGGTGGCTAATGTTAGTTTTTAAACATACCTCTTTGCAATATTTTATTATAGTAGATATTTTAATGGCACAGAAGACAAAATGCTATAATGAATTAAACACTCCTCAGAGTGTACAATTATGTTTAGTTGCCAAAATATCCTTCCATCTGTTATGCTCCATCCTTGCATTTCCTCTCATGAGAGAAAATAAGATTACAGGTAACTAATCTTTATTGCTAGTCTTTACCCTGGCTGTTAGCCTGCTTGTATATATACTGCTATCTAGTACAGCCTGCATCAGGTAACTATCTCAGCCCCCTGTCACAACTGGGAATATAAATGCAATTGAAATAATTAATATTCTCATAAATAAATGTTATTTATATGGAATAAAATAGCTAGGGTAGCAAAATACTGTGCAGGAAAAATAGTAGATAGTAGATGTTATTAGGGAACTAGCATGAAAGGTACTGAACCCTGAGGCTTGGAAGAAATATTTTTCAGTGAAAGAATATGTGCTTTGCATGCAGATGTTTCAGTTCCATCTCCAGCATCTCCAGCAAGGAAAGGAAATATACTTGTCCTGCTACTACCAATCTACTACCAGTTGGTGTACCAATTGGTCTACTACCAATAGATCAGCTACCAATTAGTGTAGAAAATCCTGAACCAGATTGAACTGGTTTAATAAAACCTCTTGATGGTAATATTCTAGAATCTTAGGGTGCAATGGCAAATATCTGGACATGGAAGATGAGGAGCATCCCATGTAGAGTGTGGAGTCAATCTGAGCCCCTCTATTCTTTCCACCCGGCAAGTCATTTAGATGACCGATTTTCAGGGGAAATGAAAAGCGTTTGAAGCCAAAAGAGATGGGGTCACCATCAAGTTTACATTGGCATCACTAGGTCAATTGAAATCACCTTCCCTGCAATTCCTCATGTTTACCTTCATCTTCCCCAATCTGGTGCCTTCTGAATGGGTTGCAGATCAATTCCTATCAGCCCTAGTCAGCATGGCTAATGGTCAGGGATTCTGGGAGTTGTAATCAAAACCATCTGGATGGGAAAGACTGTTCAAGCTGCATAGGCAAATTTGCTACTCAATGAGGAGGGGACTGTGGGCAGGATAAAATGATATATATTTGAGCATTTATTTCAAATAAGCTATTTGCAACCTGGAGAAAGTAGAAAGCAAAGAGGTCCTTCTTCCTGTTTCCCTTTTCTTTTGCAATAAACTATTCTTACTCAGTACATAACTGCAAAAGGAACTGAGAAGATGAGATGAAAGCTTTCCCAAAGCTGTATTGTGCGACAGGCCATTCATGTCATTTGCAGCCTCCAAAGCCAAATATATACAGTTTTGAAAATGGGAATCAAAAATTGGCTAGCCTTTGTTTGGTTTACAGTATATATCAACACATAAAAAAGCACTTAAATATACTGCCAGGGGCTCAGGGAAATAGAGGGAAGTTCAAGTTTATTATTTAAAAATTGGGCCAAACCATGATAGCAATATTTGATGTGAAGTCACATAGATATCCCCCTTTTTACGAGAAGATATACTAGAGAAGGAAGGACAAGTTTGTGAAGAAACTAAATACTGTGTGCAAGCCTTTTGCAAGATAGCATTTGCAAATATCTTGGCATGCTAACACCAAAGCATAAACGTAACTGAACTTATCCAGTGGATACTATATGTTTATTTTTCTTAAAAGCAGATATGGCTTTAGAGAATTGAAAGACATCTGGTAGCCACCAATATGGATGGCTACCAGATGTCTTTTGAGCAAAGCAGATTGAAACTTTTTATTAGTCAAGGCTTCCTTCTTGGTCAGTCACTGCTAGCTCAGATCCCACTAACGTATTCTTAAATCTGGAATTTTTGTCCTAATGTACATCACTTTTCACTTGCTTGAGCTATATTCATAATTGTGATGCCCATTTAGCTTGAAGAGATCTTCATGATGACTATTCATTTATGAGGGAGGACTATTAGGGGCTACTAATCATGGAGGTTTCTAATTATGTGGGGGACTGCATGGGTACAGAGACCTAGGAAGATGGAGGACCCCACACAACAAAGGGTAGACCTAAGTCAGGAGGGGCAAACTTTGGGCCCTTCAGATCCTTTGGCCTGCAGTTCCCAAATTGAATTGGGCTGTGGGATAGGCCCCAATATCTGGAGGGTGACCAATAATCCATTTCTGGACAAAACTTGTCTAGAAGCAAAAACAAGAAGAATGAAAATAACCAAATCTTCTTCCTCTTCTTCTTCTTCTTCTTCTTCTTCTTCTTCTTCTTCTTCTTCTTCTTCTGCAAATAGTTAATATTAAATTTGTTAAACTGAAGAGTGTTGTCATTAATTGTCTGAGTAGCAATTTTGTTACTATTGTTTTCAATCTCTCCCCAGAATCATTGAGTAAATGCTCTAGCCAACTGGATGCTTGGTTCACTAGCATGACATTAGGCAATAGTCCTTCCTGCTCTTGTTTTCCACCAACAGCTCTTTGGGAGCATCTGAAACTGGAAGTAACATATTGTTGCTATTACTCCGACATTTCATTCATTCATCATGGCCCCGTTCACATGTGGGTGAGCCAGCATGTTAATCACCAGTGGTCAATTATTCCCCTGCCAACAGGAGGGGCTAAACAAGCCCTTCCTGCCTTCTGATATTGTAAACACTTGGAACTGTGGTTAAAACTTGGGTTCTATCTCTGGCTTGACAGGAGGGAAACAAGCCAAAGTTCTGTATTGGAATGCCATGATTAAAACAAAACAAAACAAAAAACATACAAAATGTTCCTGAGTAACTTTAGCTGTTCTTGCTGGCAAAAGTCCCAGGTGGGAGCGATAAGCTATGGAGACTAGCATGCTGGCTTGTTTATGACCAGCCAGGGTTCAAAAACACTCTGGGTTGTTGTTTTGGGAACCAGACCAATACTGACATTACTCTAAATTAAATTTATTTTTAATTAGAATAAGATATGATTGCAAATATACCAATAGCAACAGCCATAGCACAGTCTTCTCCAACACATCTGGAATGATCAAGATCATTCTGGAATCATTCTGGATCATCTGGATCATTCTGGATCATCTGGAATGATCAAGATTGGGAGATCTGTTATAGCAGACTTGATCTCCCAGTCCCTAACAAAGCAAGAATAGTGCATGTGTATATACACGGAGAAACATTGTGAAAGCTGCATTTAACAAATATACCTGAACAGGTCTGGATAATATTTTCTGCAGTATGTTCTTTACAAAGCCTCAAATAATTTGCTGTTCAGAATCCAACAATTCAGACTGAAGTTGGAAATGCTGTTTGCACAGGTGGCTAGGCTACTGGGAGACTAAATGCTTATTCTTTCATCCATAGCCATTATTCTGAAAAATGTTCTATTTAACATCTGCCAGTTTTGATAACACAAGAAACCTTTATAAAAGTTGCTGAGATGGCATTTAGAAAATACTGAGGTCCTTTATACTGAGGTCTGTATTTGAATTGAAATATACTAAGCATGTTTCTAACATACAAATATATTTTTCTGCTGGAAGAAGACTGGTCAGATCTATGCAGAAGTTAGCTGCATAAGCCATTTTGGATGACATTTGCAAGACCTAAGTGGACCTAAGTAGATCAAGTGAGAAACACTTGAGCAAAAAAGGCAGCTTCTCAGTCCTGCACCTTTAACCACGGTGATGGGTGGGTCACGTGCTGGCTGGCTGTGGCACAGAACAAGTTGCACTTAGCAAAGCCAAGCTATCTATAAGGTTGGTGTGAGGCTAAAATAACATTTCAGGAAAGAGAGTTCCATTTGCTCTTCAAACAGAAGCAAGAGTTTTATAAAATGTTAGCAGATGCAATTTATTAATAGACAGGCACTAATCTAATATACAGTGTAGACTATATTGGCTATTTCAAGGCCCATATTAGGCAATGGCTCTATTGGGTCATCTCAAGGGTTGCAAAAACATGACAACTTTTGAGTATATAGCTACTTTTACTTTTTAAAATAATGAATGATATCACTGCCATGAAGTCTAAGACAGAGAAAGTTTGGAAAAGTATGCTCTCAGCAACTTTGAGCAAGGGTGGAATACAGATGTAATAAATGAAAAAGTGGCCTCTTGATTTGCAATATGTAATGAAGTGCATGCTTTCCTTCTGTGAGAAATCTGTCATAAATCATTTGGTATTCAATGGCTGCATATAGTTTGCAACTTCCAATTAGTCATATGAACTCCATGGACTCACAAAATATTTTAAAATGTTCCTTGAACTCCATGTTACCTTGCCCCTTGTTGCATTCAAGCTATTTCTTGTTGTCAGGATTGGCATTATAATGTATAACAACCCTGATAGCAGATATACTAAGGGTCAAGCTGAAAAAGAAATATTTTTTCCCTCTCTCAATTTTTAAAAATTATTTGAGACATGAAGAGAAAAGCTTCAATTTGGCTCTTGTACCAGAAGATTACTTGCTTTGCTTATTTTTGTGAGCCTGAAAGATTTGTGTCCATTTAAATTATATACATATGTTATGTATATACTGAAATAATGTTTCCATAATTTTAAAAATGTTTGAACATTGTGGTTTAAATTCAGTAGGGTATGTTTGGGTGTGTAAATTATCCTGTGCTGGGACCGAGAGATGGATTTGATTACCACCTTGTCTCTTCTAGTTGACATTTTCTATAAAGCTATAATTCTCTTTTCGAGAGTAAGAACTAGGGATGGGGGCAACAGTCATTTCTTAATTTTTAATGAGATACGAAATATTGTAGTTTTGAATCACTAGGTAAAGTAAAACTCAGTTGTCCTTTGAAATTTGTACATTTTCAAATGCTGCAGTGGAGTTTTCTAAATAAAACAAAAATGAAAAATTATTGTATACTAAAATGCACATGCTGGAGAGAATGGTATTCAAATACACATTCAGTTAAGAAAATATCTTGCAAGATTGTGTCTATTACACAAAAATGCATACAAAATTGAATGTCTTAGAAAAATGTACACAAATGGTTATGTATGTTCATGCAATCTTTTTCAAACAAAGAATTCTCAAAGTTCAAGATAAACTGAACTTTAAAATGGAGACATCTGCAAAGTTCACAATGAATTGAATTTACAATTGGAAAAATAAGAACTGGAAAGAAACCAAAATTGACAGATTTTTGGCTACTAACAGCCAATTCATATAATCTCAGGGTGATGTACATGCAGCCTTTGGCCCCTGTCACTTCCCACCTTGCATAAATGTAATTTGCAATTCAACAGTTAGGAACACACATCCATATGTGCAAATGTCCTATCCATTTGATTCATCTAGTTTGTGTCTCCAATAGACAGGCTAAACCAGCCTGGCATGGCTATATGTGCAAGGCATTGCATCACTGATTCTTTGTACAAAGGTGGTGGTGGTCAGCATTCAAGTGTATGACTTGTTCTACTAAATATAGATTTTTGTAATCCATTCCACAATCTGATTAGTCTTCTTAGCATAAAAGCACAGGACTTATTTAAATGGTTACAGTCTACTCATACTTAGGATGAGGAACTGGTGTTTTCCATATGTCCAGTTGTTACAGAATCCAACAGTCATTCCTCATTATCCATTTTTGGTTGGCAAAGGTTTTATGTTTGTGCAGCTGGGCTGGCAGCTTTCTTTCCCACATCCTCCTTCACATTACCAGCTTTCTGAAAATGCTACAGAGAGTCAAGAGACCATGGTCAACAGGGGAACCCCAAAGATCCAGTGCTGCCATTTCCTATAAGTGGAACCCTTCCATCAATGGAAGACAGCTTATGGATCCAATTCTGCATACTTTGCACAATATGGAAGACAAAGGATTCCAATTTCAGAAAGGTAGTTATGCTTATCTATTCATCAAATACAAAAACTATTATTCATTTACTGTGCTGTTTGTGGATTAGCACCAACTTCAGATACAAATTTTAACTAAAGGGGTTGGGGTCTGTGTTTCTAGAGATACATATACAAATGTAGACAGAGAACATATAGACTGTGGTGTCAAATGATCGTGAAATGCAAGAGATATATGCCCTATGCACTCATTCCTCAATGTATTCAGTGAACATATGGAAGGTGGTGACTAAGCCACTGGCCCTGTCCTGGATGGTATCCTGGTAGTAGCTTAAGCTCTTTCCCCATCATTCAGACAGCCAAAATTGCCATCTAATTTTGCCCTGCATTTCAGGGCAGAAGGAACATGGATTGATAACCCATGCCTCTGTTCAAAGGGTTAAAGGGAAATGGACTGGATTGCACCCTGAATCAGCTAAATGTTGTGCCATAAGTGGGAAAAACACATTAATTTCCTTTGAACCTACTGTACATTGGAACTGAATATCAAAATTATTGTTGATTATATAGCTAAAATCAGAAAGTTCCAGAAAACTTAATAGGGAACAAGGAAATGTAAGAACAAGTGCAATAAACATCATAGAAAAGATAGATGTATGTGTGTATATGCAAAGACATACATCAGTTCATCAATCCCTAGGAAAATTCTGGAGCAGATTATAAAGCAGCTAGTCATCAAGCACCTTGAAAACAATGCGGTAATTACTAGAAGCCAACATGGATTTCTCAAATTCCAAGTTCTGCACCTTGGAAAAAGAAACCAAATGCATTGTTATAAAACGGGGAATACCTGGATCAACAAAATTGCAAGTGAGAAGGATCTTGGAATTATTGTAGATAACAAGCTGAATATGAGTCAACAGTGTGGCTGCAAAAAGTGCAAATGTTATTTTAGGCTGCATTAATAGAAGTATCACTTCCAAATCATGTGAAGTACTAGTTCCCTTTTACCCAGCACTGATTAGGTATTATCTGGAGTACCGTGACCAGTTCTGGGCAACACAGTTTAAGAAAGATGCAGAAAAGCTAGAAAGTGTGCAGAGGAGGGTAACAAAGATGATGCAGGGACTGGAAACAAAGCATGTGAGAACTGGGCCAATTTAGCCTTGAAAAGAAAAGACTGAGGGGAGATATGTTAGCACTCTACAAGTACTTTAAAGGCTGTCACAAAGAAGAAGGCAGGATCTCTTCTAAATCATCCCAGACTGCAGGACATGCAATAACATGCTCAAGTTATAGGAAACCAGACTCTGGCTAGATATCAGGAAAAATTTCCTGATCATGAAAGCAGTATGAGCCATGGAACCAATGACCTAGACAGGCTCCCACACTAGGGATGACCTAGGGATGGCTGTATGGCAGTATGGCAATGGAACCAATGACCTAGGGATGTCTCCCACACTAGAGCCATTCAAGATGAAACTGGACAGCCATCTGAGAGGAATAGTTTAACTTGGTGTCCTTCACTGAGCAGAGAGTAGACCTTATGGCCTTTTGGCCCATTACAACTCTACTGTTCTATGATTCTATGTGTGCCTCATAAGTAAACAGAGGTGTCAGAAGAGTATCTTGTTAATGCCTGTAATTCATTGGTTAGAAATTGAATTCATGTAAGAAATAATCTTTTCCACTTTTTCTTCCTTTTACACTGTGTCACAGCACACTATAGACTGGATGGTGAAAGAAATAGATATTGAACTGGACATTTCACTAACTTAGTCTTTACAGTTATTTTGGCATATCTAGTTTGAAGACCTGGAGCTTTGTGGAGCTGTCAGACTGATTTGTGAGTGTCAAAAGAATCAGCAAGCTTATAAAGAAAGGTACTGCTAAACCTTAGGTCATTTTTTCTTTCTTTCCATAATTCAGGATGCAGGATGGCAAATGTCATAGGTTGTTCTGCTACATTTTTTTGTCCACTTCTCGAGGCATTTTTGGAAAATTGCTTTGTTGTCTTCATGAATCATCTATATTAAATATATTTTCAGCACAACATGCCCAAGTGAAATTGACTGACTTTTGTTCACAGGTATCACCCTAACATTCTGAACCAATGCTGTGAGCTCTGACACATTGTCAACTAGGAGAATGGGCTGAAGTATCAACACCATAATGAAAACAATTCAGCTGTGCTATCAAAAACTAAACAAGGTGTACATGTAAAGTCCTATAGAAACCTTCCATTTTATGGGATGCACATTAAAATACACATTAAATGGTTAAAAACCATAATATCTGATGGAGTGTCTCTTCCAACCTGAACCTACCTGGACATTATGATCAACATCAGAGGCATTCCTAGCTGCAGGGCTGTGGACACGATCGCTCCTAAGTGTCCTCTCCCACCGGGCAGAGCCCGCTCTTCCCCTTGCTATACACCTGAATTGCGGGCGATGAAGCAGGTTGGGAGACGGCTGGAGCATTGGTGGAGGAAATCACGGGATGAATCTGACCGAACACACTTGAAAGCCCACTATCAGGCCTATGCTGTGGCGGTGAAGGTTTTTCCTGCTTCCATTGCCTCCTCACAATGCCGTCCGGCGGAGCTTTTTCGAGTGGTGCAAGGCCTGGTTCACCCGGGTCCCAAGGAAGATTGGGTTCCACCCTCAAAGGCCTGCTGTGATGACTTTGCCAGGCATTTCAGGGAGAAAATCGCTCAGATTCGTCACAAGCTGGACTCCACTAATGAATCAGAGGTTTCTGGGGAGACGCCAATGCGGCCGTTTGGTCCAGAATTATTGGATGAATTTCAGCTATTGCGGCCCGATGATGTGGACAAGGTGCTTGGACAAGTACGTCCCACCACTTGCCTATTGGACCCTTGCCCATCTTGGTTATTAAATAATTCCAAGCACGGGAGTGGGACCTGGATCTTGGAAGTGGTTAACGCTTCTCTGAGGGAGGGTCGGGTGCCTGCTCCTTTAAAGGAGGCGGTAGTCCGACCGGTCCTGAAGAAAGCATCACTGGATCCAGAGATGGCCACTAACTATAGACCAGTGGCCAACATCCCGTTTCTGGGCAAAGTGTTAGAGTGGGTGGTGGCGGGACAACTCCAAGCACTCTTGGATGAAACTGATTATCTGGACCCATTTCAGTCCGGCTTCAGACCCGGGTACGGTACTGAATCTGCCTTGGTCGCCCTGTACGATGACCTGTGCAGGGAGAAGGACAGGGGGAGTGCGTCCCTGTTGGTTCTTCTGGACCTCTCAGGGGCTTTCGATACCATCGACCATGGTATCCTCCTGGATAGGCTAGCGGGATTGGGGGTTGGAGGCACTGCTTTGCAGTGGTTCCGCTCCTATCTCAACAGCCGATTCCAGAAGGTGGTGCTGGGGAACTATGGCTCTGCGCCATGGCAGCTATGCCATGGAGTACCGCAGGGGTCCATTTTGTCCCCTTTTCTGTTTAACATCTATATGAAACCGCTGGGAGAGGTCATCAGGAGGTGTGGGCTACGGAATCATCAGTACGCTGATGATACCCAGCTCTACCTCGTTTTCCACTAATCCAGGTGAGGCAGTGGCTGTGCTGAACCGATGCTTGGCCGAGGTTATGGGTTGGATGAGAGCCAATAAACTGAAGCTCAATCCAGACAAGACGGAGGTCCTGTTGGTTGGCGGATCGGGCTTCGGAGAGGGTGGATTTGACCTTGTCCCTAAGAGGGAGTGCAACCCCATTCAGGGCCAGGTCAAATC